CCAGCCCAGGCTGTTGACATAACCAGGCCAGCACGGCTGTTTTATTGACTTCCCAGCGTTAACCTGGTTCCTTAAATGAATTATACAGATGGGACTGTGTTGTCCGAGAGCACTGATGTGTGTCTTTCAAACTCATTGACCAGTGCAGCCAGCTCTGAAAGGGAGATAGTGTTCCCAAAAGCATTATGGTCTTGCAAACTGTAAGGGAGAGAGACAGAGATAGATTCTCCAAGGACCACCCCGAGGGCGCTGAGCTGTGGGAGCTCGGCCTTCATTAGGCAATAGAAAACCACACAGTGTATCCCTGAGCTCAGAGCAGAGCAAAATCCATCATCAGTCTCTGTCTCTTGGTCTGCATTTCTGCTGGTTTCTTGACACAAATGATCAGAAGTGATGACTCCCTCCATGGATATTCCCTCCTCACAGAACCTTCCAGTACCTAAAGGGGCTCCAAGAGAGCAGGAGAGGGACTTTTTGCAAGGGCCTGCAGAGACAGGACAAGGGGGAACGGCTTAAAACGGACAGAGGGTAAATTCAGATTAGATATTAGGAAGAACTTTCTCCCTGTGAGGGTGGGGAGGCCCTGGCACAGGTTGCCCAGAGAAGCTGTGGCTGCCCCTGGATCCCTGGAAGTGTCCAAGGCCAGGTTGGACGGGGCTTGGAGCAACCTGGGCTAGTGGAAGGTGTCCCTGCCCGTGGCAGGGGGTGGGATGAGATGAGCTTTGAGGTCCCTCCCAACCCAACCCATTCTGGGATTCTGTTCCCCTGCCTGGGGCACAGTGGGAGCCTGGCTGTGATGCCCAGAGGGACCCTCGGGAGCCTCTCCGTGCCCAGGGAGGTGCAGGCAGACGTGGCACTCAGGTTTTCACAGCTACAACTTGCTGCAGGCCATGGACACTGCCCAGGAGTCTGAAACATACTGCTCTTGTCAGGTGAAATGAAAACAGCTATAAAAAGCTTAGAAAAACATGTGTTCTGGGCAAAACTGGTGTGGGGGTTGAGTGGTGTGGGAGAGGTCTCGTCCCACTGCTGTGTTTGGGATGCACACGGAGGGGCAGCAGTGGAACACGAGGCTGCCCCATCCACAGCACTCTGTAAATGAGAATAAAACTGAATATTGGACAGGGCTCTGAGCAACCTGGGCTAGTGGAAGGTGGCCCTGCCCATGGCAGGGGGTGGAACAAAATGAGCTTTAAGGTCCCTTCCAACCCAAACTATTCTGCCATTCTGTGAAGGCCAACGCACTGGTAACAAGGCAACCAAATTTATTAGCATTAAATCATTTTTAAGTAGATGTAAAACTGGTGGTTATTGCACATCAAGTTAGCTAAAAACCAGGAGAGGGACGTGAGTGCTGGGATGGGACCAGCACTGTGCTCCTCCCCTGCTTTCAGGGGGGTCCTGGGGGTCAAAACCTCCTGCAGGACACAGCAAGCGTCCTTTCAAGGCCAGTGCTTGTTGTACTGGTGCTTTAGAGAGGATGGGTAGCTGTTTGCCTCTTGAGAAAAATGTTTCTGCATGAATTGGAGAGCTGATTTTGAATTAATTTTGAATAGTTGTTTCAGTAATTCAGATTGATTTAAGATGCACCCAAGAATAATGCTTTCATTATAAAACCTCCTGAGCAAAATTTAAATCGTGCTAAATTAAAAACAGCCTCTGTTAAACCAGGGCTGATGAGCACAGCAGAGGGATCAGAGATGCAGGGTCAGTATAATTTAATTCCTTTGCTTTGTTTCCCATTCCAGAAAAACTATTGTACCTGTCTCCTTGGGTTGTTAACTACCTAAGGAGCTGGATCGCCCTGGATTTCTCTAAACTGATTTGCATAGTAACCCCACCAAAAGCAGCAATTATTTATTGATGCAGAGCTTCACCTTCCAGAAGAACAGCATTTTTATTGCTTTTTATTTATGGGTCAATCCGGAAATTCGATTGCATCCTAAGGATACTTAGGAAACTGGAACAGCAGCTGATGCACAGCACAGTGGGAGGGTTCATGCTTTCCTACTGCTGGCCTTGTTTGTTTGTTGTAAGTAAACTTTCCATTTTATATAAATGGGGCTAATTTTTAACGTCTTAATAACACGGGAAAAGTTATCCTGCACTTTCCAAATGGCTCCTACAAAGCACCCTGCAAAGGCAACAGTGGGATTCCAGTGTCAGGGGAACATTCACTTATCTGCATTTAAATGTATCAGCAGTGAAAGCAAAATATACATGTATAGTTTTGAGTTAAAAACCTGCTTTATAATCTCTTGCTTTAAATGCTGGCTGAATTATTAAAGGCAAAAGGCAGAAAATATTTAGGATACCAATAAAAGCTCTGAGTGTTGCTGAAATACAAGCAGTGAACTGGCAAGCACTAAGTAGGCAAAGTCTGATGGATTAGGAGACCTTGGCTGCATTTTTGGCAATGTGTCTGTGATGGGAATTGCCAGTACCCTCATTAGCAGCAAGATCCCTCCAAACATATTGAAATGGCTTCTGAAGAGAGATGTATATGAAATATTGCCTGGGAGCTCCAGTTTGTCAGAACTGAAAGGATTTTTGGGGAAATGAAGGAGGCCAGGAGGGTTAACCCCGAGGGGTTCATTCCTCCAGGAGGGTCCACAGCCCACCCCACACAGTGGGAATGAGGAGGTGGAAATGAGCTGAGGACAAAGGGTTTGCTCCTGGAGCTCATGGATTCCACTACTGTGCTGCCAAATTGTGGGGGAGAGTTGTGGGCACAGCCAGTGCCTCGTTCCACCAGCTCTGGGACCCCACCACAGCCCTGAGCAGCCCCAAAAATGCCTCCCCAGGGGTGTCTGGAGGGAGCTCTGCAGAGCTGGGCTGGCAGCAATCAGGTTTTTATGGCTCAGAGTTGCAACTTTTCTTTCTAGCACAGGTTTTGGGAGAGTGTTTGGCTTCAGGGAGCTGCTGAGTGTGGTTGTGGGCAGATGGGTGTTGTCCAAGTGCACAGGGGCTCCTCAGGGTCTGCTGAGGTTTCTGAGTTATTGAGGTTATTGAGGTTTCTGAGTTTCTTGTAAATCTGTGATAAAACACTAAACTCAGCTGATACACTTTTTGCTCGAGGCACCTATTTTAATTACAATCCCAAATACTAGAAGCTTAAGCCTTAAGATTTTGACAGCATTTTATGGGTCCCTTCCCAACAATTTTTTTTTTTACAAAGCTGTGTTTAAACGTCTAATTTCTTAAATCCGTGTCAACTCATTTAAAGCACTCGTTTATCCATAATTTCTGTGATTACAAGAGATTGAGAGCACTTTAAGGTCCTCAGGAGCACTTTGGTTTGTGGGTCTGTGCGTTCAGAGAGGGAGGGAAGGAGACCAAAACCGAGCCAGTGCCCTGATGGGAGCAGAGGCTCAGCTGCTCTCCAGCACATTCTGCAGGTATTGGGTTTGTTCCCAGAACGTCCCCTGGACCCCAACTGTCCTGTCACAAAGATGTAACAGCAAAAGTGTGAATGGGCACAGGAGTGTGTGGATAGAGGGGTGGGTGTGATCATTACCAAACAGAAACCCCAGGAGAGAAGAGGATTTTCATGCCTTTCCCCTCGTGCAGAGGACACAGGAAAGAAGCCACCCAGGGCAGGTGTTCTTCTGAAGCTGCTGGTGGGGACAGGAGGGCGAGAACTGACCAGTAAGGACCAGCCAGAATATGGAAAGCTGAGCCACAGGGCGGGGGAGTGCTGGGCTGCAAAACCCACCTTCCATTTCTAAGCAAGCACTGACTTTCCCAGGGTAAGGAGCAGCTTTTGCCATAAACTTGCACACTTTGCTTAGATATTAAAAAGGAGGAATAAGAGATCTTTAGGTGACTATGACAAAAAGCTTCTACATTTGCACTTAATGAAGAAATTCAGACTTTCGGTTGTCATATGCCCGGATTTGGCACTTTTCTGACAGCTGAATTATGATTTTAATAATTTAAAAGTGCTACCGTGAGCCTGTTCATGTATAATGGGCACAGGGAAGTGTTTAAAATCAAAAGCAGTTTAGAGAAAAAGTGGTCACAGTGTTACAAGAACAAGCATTGTCTACATCGGAATATTAAACCTGTGTGAACTCTCCAGTGGGAAAACTCTTTGTAAAGTAACTATAAACTTAGTATATTGTTCTGATGTGTGGAATGGAGAGATTGCACTCCATCACAGCTTTGCACGGCCTGCAATGCCCACTTTCCTTTACATAACCTTGTCAGGGTGAGGGCCTGGCTATTCTGCTTACAAAGGTTTTAGTTCAGAGCAGCAGAAGCACAAATCTATAATCTCAGTAGAAACATCTGTAAGACGGAAATGAAATATAAGTGGAAAAAAGCGCCCTCCAGGCTACACTCCTCTTGCTTTGATTCCATTATCTTTGTACCTGTCCATGGGAATGTTTGAAATTCTACTGCAACCACCACGGCGCACTCAGTCTGCAAACTCACAACTACCCCCAGACAAGAAGCCCATCTCCTGCTCCACTGAGTGCAAACCAGACCCTGCCCTGGTGATCTCGGAGTATTTTCAGCCCGCTGACCCACAACATCCACCTGAATTCAGCAAATCTGTGCCTCCTGGCGTGTCAAGTGGAGAAACAACGGCCAACACCGCGGAGAGACACAACAGACCCATCAGCAACTTTGTGTAAAACCTGCGGCTCGAATGAACGTCAGGACAAACCAGCAGCTCCCTCTGCCAGCCTCCCCCTGCCCTCGTGGCAACTTTGCTGCGGCAGGAGCGCGGATCAGGACCTGCCACTGCACCTCCCTGCTCCTCCTGCACTCACTTCCCGTTGTGCCAAGCGTTTGTCAAGCGGGTGGAAGCGCTTTTTTCCCGTTTTGTACAACTTCCCCCGACCCGCAGAAGTTGTAAGGCAAAGAACAATCGAGCCCTCAGCGGTTCCCGACCCTTTCCGAACATGCACCCGGGGAAACGCCGAGGAGCAGCTGAAGTCAAGCTCCCCGTACATGCTTGCCTGCTGCTCAGGGAAAGGAAAAGTACTACTCACCCCAGTGTTGTCATGGTTACAATAGTGTACCAAAAGGAAGCAGGAATACTGGTGAATTTGCTCGCCGAGGACCCTTTCTCCGCGTAAAACATCACAGTTGCAAAGATGATGATTGCCATAGTGAGGGAAAAGAGGAGAAAGCCAAGCTCGGAGGCACAGCTCTTCAAGGTGTAGCCCAAGATTCTCAGGCCTTGGGAATGGCGGGAGAACTTGAAAATCCTGAAAACCCTAAAAACCCTTAGCGTGACGAAGGCCCCGCTGACGTCCTCGTTGTTGGTCATCACCAGGCCGATGTAGTAGGGCATGATGGCCACCACGTCGATGATGCTCATCACGCTTCGGATGAACCTGTAGCGACTCGGGGCCGCGAAGAGCCTCAACAGGTACTCGACGGTGAAGATCATCACGCAGGCCGTGTCCAGGCAGAAGAAAGCCACGGCGTACCTCTCCCCGCACGGCAGCTCCTTGTTCCCGGGCACGGTGCCGCAGGGCACAGTTTCCACCACGTTGGTGATCACAGAGACGGCGATAAAGAAACCGGTGACGTAGTAAAAGACTAAGGCTAAGGTGCTGGTGTGGGGGTTCTCGAAGGCTCGCCACATGGTCTGCCGGAAGCTCAGGGACGGCATGGAGCCTTCCTGGTTGTTCTCCGAGTCGTTGTCGTCCATCAGCCGCTCCGCGTTTTCCCGCTTCCTGTCCTTGTACTCTTCGTAGCAGCAGTCCCCGATGATTTCGGGGAGGATCCCGTAGAAGGCGAGCTCTTCGTCGTAGGCAGAGATGCACTCGTACCTGGGGTAGTGCAGCTTGCCAGTTCTATAAAAATTTAGGATGCACCTGAAGACCTCGGGGTCCCGGTCGAAGAAGTACTCCTTGGTGTCCTCGTTGAAGAAGAACTCCTTCTCGGTGCTGCCCAGGAGAGTGTCCGGGTATCTCTCCAGTGTAGTCCTCCAGGTCTGGAATCGCCTGCCACTCACATTGAGAATGATCAGCTCGTCCTGCCTCTTGTTTTTCTCCGTTGGAGCCAGTGGCATGGGGCAGTTGGCCACTGGCATCCATCCTATGGCAGCCGCCCTGGCAAAGGGCAACCACGCTGCTACTCCTGCTGCCATGATGAGCCCAGGCCTTGTTACTGGAGAGGATAATCAGGATGCTCCCGAGACCTGCTGGAAGTCAGATCAGTTCCATCTAAAACACAGAGCAAAACAGAACACAGCGCTCAGTCAAGCAGGGGGTGTCTTGCCCTGGTGTCGACACAGACACAAGGATTTAAAACAACTGGCTCGCCCTCACCTCCCAGTCGAAGAAGGATGTTAAACAAGGCACGTGATAATCAGCTCAGTGAGGCTGTGGCTTTATTCTAGGCTGAAACTTTGAATAGCAAATGATTCCTCATTAAAAGCATTTTAAAAGTAGCATAAACACGGTAATTTATATTTGCTTCCTCACAAACAAGACTAATCCATAATTCCCCAGGTGTAAGACTCGTGTGCTCATCAGTTTAACTACAGCTGTCAAGCAAGAGCTGGGAACTCCAGTGAAATCAGCTGGCAGCTCACCCCGTGAAATCCTACACCACAAAAACCCCAGGCTGGGCTCAGCTGTGTTTCCAGCCTTAAACAAGTTCAATATGTTCTGAATCTTGCACTAAGAACATCCTCAGCTGAAAGGGATGGAAAAAAATCTCTAGTTTTCACTGTTTTTCTTCCACCTTTAATGCAGGGCCTGGCTTCAGCAGCAGTGTTTTGCTGCTCTCCTTAATTTAGAGGTGGGTTTTACTCTCGTGGAGAATTCCAGCCCTTTGCCAGACCAGGAGCAAATTCTGGCTTTCAGGGAAACATTGCTCAGAACACCTGAGCAACAGCAAACTTCAGTGCCAGGGGTGAAAGCTCATGGATTAAGCTACCAAGAGCATCAGAATGAGGGAAGCCCCCAAAGCTGGAGGGTTTCCTTCCAGCAGGAATTCCTTGCTTTTTTCCTGGCTAACAGAGAGGCAGAAGTCCTTCACCTGAAGAACTGAAGGACTATTAGTTTGACACAACATATGTTCCCTGCACTCTTGGATTTTTAGATGAAAAATACCCCGAGTTGTCCAGATCCTCAGCCAATATTCTCTTGAAGTTCAAGCAGGTTTTGTGGTTCTGATCTAACCATGAATTTTCTTTAGACTTTTGATCTTTGGTCAGAGTTCTTACAGTCTTTAACTTTTATTTTAACCTGCATTTACTTTCATTTCCCTAATGTTCTTCTAACTCTACCATGAAATTATCTGAAGAAAGGTGCCATTATCATAAGAGATGCATTAGGAGCCCCATCAAAAGTCGATTTATCAATGGAAATTCCATCGATTCCACTGACTCGGGCCCTCAAAGCTTAATTGTATCTTTGTAGGCAGTTTTCCTCTGAAGTTTTGAAATGATGTGAAAGCTGCCATTCCAGCCAGTCAGGCTGCAGCATTATTGATTCCAACAGGCCATGGAAACCCTGAACAAAAACTGACGGAATCCATCTGTGGTGAAAATGACTGAACTGCTCCCAGAAACACCCTTCCTCTTCAGGGCAAATTAACATTCATCACCTTAATGGGGAGCATCTCTCTGTGCAGTTTTACTGTCTAAAGGACAATTGAAATCCCTCGTGTGAGCATCTTACTGCTGCTGGAAGAGCTCTGGTAATTATGGAACGTGTAATAATCCACAGTGATGCTTATCCCAAGGAGACACTTTGCTTTATCTGCGTGGCACTGGAGCAAACATCCCACGACATTTCCCTCCTAAGGACTGTTCAATCTTACAAAGCACTACCTTTTCTCTCGCCCTAAAAAAGGAATTTATTGCGTTCACAGTGCCAGACTGGCAGCCCTGGGGACCAGGCTCTGTCGTCTGTGCCAGGCAGAGAAACTTTCTTTGCATGACTTTGAAAAGATCCCCCAGTCCTCAGCTGAAAGGGCATCTCCAGGGGCTCAGTGGGATCAGGCAGATCCCTTCTACCAGCAGTGGTGGATCTTTTAATTGTTATGGAACACTTTAGAACAAGAGGTAGCAAAACAACAACTATTTCATTCATTTATCAACAAATATACACAGGCAAACAACCAAGAAACCAAGATAAAGCATCTTATTCCTCCTTTCCCTGCTGGTAATCTGTCTTCTCTGCTTTTTAATTTCAATTAACACCACCACAGTCCTTCTGCCAGGACTGATGCAGGGTGACCTGAGCAGCTTCCTCACTCATCCTCATCTCCCCTGATTTCTCGGGGGAACTGCATCAGAAACCTCTTCTGTACTTTCATAACTTTGGTTGTGGATTCCAGGTTACCTACATTAGCTGCTCAGGCACTATAAATACTTCACATATAATTGTTCTAATCAAGCAATGGCAACTCATAAGTGACTTACGCATTTTTAAATCAATTTTTAAAGATAAAATGGGTCCTTCCATGCTGGCAGGATGCATAGGGAAGCTATAAATATCTGAATATAGTGGACAGGATATTAAAGCAAAAGAGAAAGAGAGGGGAATTCTTCTGTGAAAGTTTAGTTCCCATTTCTCTGGGACCAAGAGACGCAGCTGGTTAAGAAAACAGAGCACGCACAGCTCAGTTGTTTAAGTTGCATTGAATCTGCCCCATTTGATCCACAAACACACACAAAAAAAGTCTTTTTTGGCCATAAATTTTCTTAAGAGCGACAGGGAGAAGAGTAATGAAATCTCCTATCACAAAGGTCTTGCTTTTTCTTGTCCATAAGTCCTTGGAACTTCACCCGTCCCCGAAATAAGAGACAGAAAATTAGGAGAGAGATAGGACTGGATTTGTAATTCAGGGCTGCACAGGCTGAGCAAAAAAAAAGATGAAATAACAAGTTTACCTACAGAATGGGGGAAGAATCCTCCTTTTCTGCCTGCCTGGGTTTTGGTAACTGCTATGCAAAGCAACTGGCTGGACTCAAAATCTACTGTACTGTCCACAGAGTCTCTTCAGCTCACACAGAAAACAGACACACTCTAATTCTAACAAGCATATCTTTAGCTATACCCATATTTCTAATTTTAATTGCCATAATTTCTGCATGCAATTTGAAAGGAACTAGTTGCCAGCAGACTGGCACCCTGCTGATGACATTTAGAAGCCCTGGTACACGAAATAAAATAATTTGCCTCCTGATTTAAAAAAGTCAGCATCTGTAGAGAAAGGAATCTGTTTTCTTTAGAGGTAATTGTGAGGACAGTGAAATGGTCAAGGGAATTGGATGGAAAAGGCTGAGGTTTGAGCCCCCTGTCCCCCTCCCAGGACCTCCAACCTCATCGGGGTCCCTCCCGACCACTGCTGGCCCCCGCGGTTCGTCTGTGCTGCAGCCACTCCGTGGGCACCGTGGTTTCATCCCACTTGGAAAAAATAAAAACCTGACGGGCATGGCAGGTCAGGAAAGCTCTGGAGGAAAACTTCAGAGAACAGTTATGTCTGTTCACCTAAAGGGTCAAGAAATAAAGGCTGGATTCTTACCCCGTTAGCTCCCACAGCTTAATAATTGTCTCTTCATCCTCTCACGAAAGCAGAAAACAACCCAAAAATCTCAGTGTTTCCCTTTCTCGAAGCAGACAGGGATGATTTGAAATGTGCCCCACAAACATACTGTGAGTTTCTTGATGAGACACTGATAATGGGAGTGAAGAGCCTTGACATCATTCCTTCTTCCCTGTCCTTGTTGGGTCAGGCTCAGGCAGCAAAGAGACATTTGCTTTAAAGCAAAACATGTCAGCCAAGACTCGGTATCCTCGCTCAGTCACACGCCCTTTCCCTTCACAACCACATCAGGAAATAAAACTTTCTGCAAAACACTCGCTCCCTCGGTCTGGTGGAGAGATTTAGGAGCAAAAGCAACAGGCTTAGGATGAATGCATGCAAACTTCTCCCCTCCCTCCCTCCCGGTCAGCCCAGAGAGCCCCATCTTGCCGGCTCGCAGCGCTGCCTTACCTGGCAAGGAAAGACACCCGGTGCCCAAAAGTAGGGCTAAATGTGGGGAACTGGAAGGAAGGGGGAGCAGTCACTCCTCGGGATGAAAGGTGAGCTGTGCTACCTGCCTCTTGACTCCCTCTCTACGCGCAGTCAGCAGCAATCAGTAAATGCGATCATCATCGTGAAAGTATATATAGAGAGATGACTAAACAGCTTCTCCCTCATTACTGCCGAGACGGAGGCTCTCCCTGCCTCTCTCGCCCGAGCTCGCCTCGCTTTGCCCCCTCCCCTTCCAGGACCGCTCGGAGCTTTGCCCTGGCTGCCTGATCCAGCTGGGAACGGCACCCGGGTCCCGGAGAATCCGCTGGGGTGGCCGCAGCCGGGAGATGGACCCGGCTGGTCCAGGGAGGCAGGTTGTGGAGCGCGGCTGGAGAAGGGCGGTGTGAGCTGACAGAGACACTGGCAAATGGAGTCGTTAAATACACAGAGCCTACCCTGCATGCTAATGTGCCAGCAGCGGCAAGGGGGGGATGAAGGGGGGGAAAAGTACGGGATGAACTTCACGGGTCCCTCCCGGAGCTCCCGGTGTGTCCCTGGCTCTCGGTCAGGCAGGGACGACACAGGAGAGGTTCCTTCTGGACAAGAAAACGAGCTATTCCTCCAGCATCACAAACCTACAACCAACCTCCCTCCAGGGCGGGAGGCTATACTCAGCAATAAAAAGAAATAATTCAGATTTAAACTGATCTTCCCCTTTCTCCTTCTCCCCTCTGCCTTCCCACCGCCTTCCCCTTTCCCTCTTGTTCTGGCTTGCCCTGCTCCTTGGCAGCTCTTACCAGTCCTGTCTCCACACCACCTCAGCATCCCTCTTTCATCCGCGGTCAGAAGTTGGACTCGGCACGCTCAGAGAGACCCGGCAGCCTCTCTCATTTATCTGTTTGCCGGCGAAATCTCCATTAAGTAAATAACTACGAGCCCAAATCAGAGCGAGCCAGCCTTGCCCCGCTCCGCCGGGCAGCTCCCGGCGGTGACCGATGCGCCGCAGCGATAGTTGGTGACTTCCATAAAGTCACATCGATACGTACACGGGCGAGCGGAGCGCGGCCGCCTCGCCATCGCCTCGCCTCCCTGCACAGCCCAGCTCCGCGCGGCGCTGGATCGGCGGGATCGCGGCATCGGCGAGGGGCGGGATGCACACGGGCGGGATGCACACGGGCGGGATGCACACGGGCGGGGGGGGCGCGGGGGTGGGAACCCAGCGGGGGCACCGCGCCTGCCCCTCCCCGGGGCCGATGTCCCCCGCATCCCTCGTGGCCGGTGCCCCCCACCCCACCCCGCATCCCCCGGGGACGGTGCCTTTTCCCCCCCCGTCCCCGCGGACCCCCCTCACCTCCGCAGGGCGCTCCCGGCCGCGGCCGCCCGCCCGGCGCCTCCGCGGCCATGCGGCTGCCGGGAGCGGGGCGCGGGGACGCGCGGAGTGCGCGGGCGCGGGGCGGCGGCGGCGGCGGAGGAGAATCAGCACCGCGCCCGCGGAGAGCGGCGGAGCGTCGGCCCCGAGCGGGAGGGGAGCGCCGGGAGCGGGGGGCGGCGGAGGCGAGGGCAGGGCGGGCACGGTGCCGGGGGGGGGACTCCGGAGCGCGGTGCGGGGGCTCTTCCCGCACACACGGGCGCGTCCCCGCAGAGCCGCCGGCAGGTGTCACCCGGAGAGAGCCCGCGGGCCGTGCGCGGCACCCCCGGCGCGGGAGGGGTGCGGGGGGAGCGGGGTCGGAGGGTGCGGGACACCGCGGGTGGAGGGATGCACCGGGCGGGGGAGTCGAGGATGCGGGACCCCCGAGCGGGATGGGTGCGGGGTCGGGGGTGCGGAGCACCGAGGGTGGAGGGATGCGCCGGGAGAGGGGTAGGAGGTGAGGGACACCGGGGATGGAGGGTGCGGGACCTCCGAGCGGATGGGTGCGGGGTCGGGGGTGCGGGACACCGAGGCTGGAGGGATGCGCCGGGAGAGGGGTCGGGGGTGAGGGACACCGGGGATGGAGGATGCGGGACCCCCGGGTTGAGAGGTGCGCTGGGCAGGGGGGGTTGAGAGGGCAGGACCCCCGAGCGGATGGGTGCGCTGAGTACTGGGGTGCGGGACACCGAGGCTGGAGGGATGCGCTGGGAGAGGGGTCGGAGGTGCGGGACACTGGAGGTGGAGGGTGCAGGACCCCCGGGCTTAGGGGTGCGCTGGGCAGGAGGTTTGGGGGTGCAGGACCCCCGGGGCGGAGGGATGAGCTGGGAGAGGGGTCGGGGGTGCGGGACACCGGGGGTGGAGGGATGCACCGGGCGGGGGAGTCGAGGATGCGGGACACTCGAGCGGAGGGGTGCGCTGGGAGGTGCGAGGGGGGTTTGGGGGTGCGGGACGCTGGCGGTGGAGGGATGAGCAGGGCAGGAGGCAAGCGGTGGGTGCGGGACCCCTGCAGCAGCCCCACAACGAGGGTCCCGCACCCGCAGACCCGACCCGAGGTGGAGAGGGGCTCTGGGAGGGGGGTTTGGCGGGTGTGGGACCCCGGGGGTGGAGGGATGAGCTGGGCAGGGGGGTCGGGGGGGTGCAGAACCCTTGTTTGGTAGAAGTGGCAGATGCCCCTCCAGCTGCATCACTGCGAGTGAGGGGGGGATGTTGTGGGGTCTGGTGTGCCCGTGGTGCCTTAAAACAGGGGAAACAGGGACTTGGCACAGCCAGTGCTTACCAGGGGTGGTTTTCCAGGTGATTTGTGTGCCTGTTTTATGCTGTGACTTTCATCCCAGAGCTCTTAACCCAAGACCTTCTTTAAGACAAAAAAATGGGAAAAAGCCCTCCAGATCCTCAACACTTCAGCACTCCAGTTGTGTAGTTTGGAAAGTGTAACCTGGAAAATTCTGATACCCTTATTATAGCGTCATTAAGGTTGGAAAATACCTCCAAGATCATCAAGTCCAAACTTTGAGTGAATCCCACCATGCCCACAAAACCATATCATCAAGTGCCACGTTGACTCATTTTTTTTAACACTTCCAGGGATGGTGATTCCACCACTTCCATGAGCAGCCCATTCCAATGCTTTGTCACTCTTTCAGTGAAGAAATTTTTTCTAATATCCGACTGAACCTTGATCGATCCAATTCAGGGTCTCAATGTTGTCTAATTTCTGGTAATTCAATGCAATTATTAAAAAATAATACTAATTTCTGAGTGTCAGATCCTGGGAAATCCTCCCCAAAACCAATCTTGCCCAATAATATTTGAAAGCTGCATTACAGTGTCTGCAAACTAGTTATGAGGTTATGCAAATGCAATGTACTATAATCTTTAGTTTATGGATACCAAACTTCCATGAGAAAATTCCAGTGGCTGTAAGAATTTAAACATATCAAAGCAACCCAAATCCATCTTTATTAGATGTCTTCAGAACCGCTTTCCACTTTTAAACCCTCCCTCTATCTCCACTTGCTCTTTCCCTCTTGCAGATGCTCAGAAGAAAGCAAAACCAGAAATGTCATTTGGCTTTTGCTGGTATAAGAGATTTTTCTGTGATTTTACAGTGTCATCACTTCATAAAACTTCCTGACTCTTCTCTCACTGGGGCGTGCTCTGGCCTCACTCCCTGCTGGTGCTGCCCTGGCTGTGATTCCAAATCTTTTTTCCCCCATGGCTCGGCCCCTTTTAACTTCCAATCTCTATTAAAAAGCTAATTTGGGAACTCTTTTGCAATGCTCCCAATTTTGTATTTTTAAATAGAGTATGAAAGTCAAAAGCAAGCTCTCTGCAGATAGTCTGATGTGAAAATATTTCTTCTCTCTTTTTTTCTTTATCTTTTTCTCTGCTTCTTTCCCTCTTTTCTCTCTTTAACTCCCTCTTCTTTCCCTCTTTCCCTTTTGTTCTCTCATTCTGCCTTTCCCTTCCTCTCTCTTTCTAGGAACAGCTCCTTATTTTCTACTGCACCAATTAAAGCTTTTATTAAAACTTTTTTAACAACTTTTCCTCATTCCACTCCTGAAAAGTAGAACCAACTGCTGTTAAAACGAGCCACATTCCCGGAGAAACAACTGGAATAAACTATGCATGGTTAAATATCAGTATTAAATATAGCTCACTTGATTTTTTTTCCCCTTTTAATTTTCTGTATTTATATCCTGCGCCTCTAGAGAGTATTTTATTTATTGTGTTTGTTCTTTGCATTGGGTGCTATCCTGCATAAATTCTGGATTTAAATATCCCGTCGACTTCGTGCTGCAGAACATTCTGCAGTGACAGTGGCGTGAATTCAGCTTGGTTGCCTGAAATTACAGCTCGCCCTGACATTGGAGCTTTGTGCTCTGATTGTGTCCTATGGATTGTGCCAAGAGTTTCCTTGCTGCAGATCCAAGTTTGTGGAAATGCCTGCATGCATTAAAGGAAGATTATTGATATGATTAAGTGAAAGAGTCGGTCTTTTTCACCTTAAAATTCCATATGTGGTGCAGTGGTTGAAGCAGCCTGGAAAACACAGCTGCTGGGGTGGATCTCTGTGCTTTGAGGGCTCTCTCAGACCCTGGATAAAATTCTTAATCTCTGTGTTCATAAATCACAGAATCCCAGAATGGTTTGGGTCGGATGGGACCTCAAAGCTCATCCCACTCCACCTCCCTGCCATGGGAAGGGACACCTTCCCCTAAAACAAGTCACTCAGAGCTCCATCCAGCCTGGTTTCCATCTCAAGGAAGAATATGACAATATCTCCTGACAAAAAAAAATGTATTATCAGAATGTGTAAATATTAATAAGGGGCTGTAAGATTCCTGAAGGACATGAGATGTGCAAAGGTGTAAAGAGAACAGGTAGTGCTAAAAATGAATGCATGAAGGCATAAGGCACATTTTATCTCATCCTAGAAATCCAATAAAAAAAATATCTACCACTTTTCCTGAAGTAAGATGCCTTCCTGCCACAGGCCTGGCAAAATCAGGAGTTCCAGCATCTTTCTCACTCCTGTGTCTACCTCATGTGTATATTTTATCCCTGGAAACTGTAGGTGGAAATGGTCTTCACTAGGACCAATTTAAATTTTCTTTGAGACAGGAAAAAAAGCTGCCAAAAAAATGGCTTCGGATCAAAAAATTTTGCAGGTTTTCTTATAAGGAAAACTCGACTATTAAATTGGGAGAGTGTCCATAAGAAATAGTCCTTCATAACACAGTTCTGCTTTAGGGTTTTCTGCAAGGCCAAGATTGGAAATGTTTTATAGAGATTTGTAAAAAACTCTGAATTCTCTCAGCATCCCTTGAGGGTTTTTAAGGGGACCTTGTTATTGTCTTAAAAATATCCCAGAGGGAAAAGTGACTCATTTTCAAGCCCCTTTTGAAGAAGGATCAATGCAGGGAGATGTTAAAAATCAGGGGATTTAT